TAAAAAAAAAAAATAGTGTTTATGAATACTAGAAATCCGTTTATAATTTTATAACCCAAAGAAATAGGAAAAATGGAGAAAATAGGAAATCATAAGGATGAGAATTACTATTATGATTAACACCATCGTTACGTTTTATTGTTATAACTATTTTCTTCTTCTCTTACTAATAGGAAGGCTTTCAGGACCTATACTACTCCTTTCGAACTTCGCTCTCACTAATAGGAGGGTTTTCAGGGTCTATATTACTAGGATTATGTTGTTCATCACCTGCAGCTTGTAACTGAGCAGAATCAAATGAAGGTCTTTCAACTTGAGTCATTTCTCCATCAAAATATCTTGTTCTAGTATCCGTACTTGAGGTCTCTAATTTTCTAGTTAAATCGTAACTACCTCTGGGAGGTGGTTGAGGAATTAAAGTTCGAGAACTTCGGGGACTTGGTGACAAAGATTCAAAAATTCTTCTTCTTCGATTGGCACGCATACAACAATATATTGTTAATAAACAAAAAAATAAAACTATGACACCGACAGTTATTAAAATTTGTATTAGTTGTTGATGATGATGAGACTCGGAAGTGCTGGTGGTAGATGAGTTTGTGGCAGTTGATAAGCTTGAAGCAGTAGCAGTAGAGGTTGGAGTTTCGTCCGCGGCATTTGTTGTAATTGTTAAATGGAAAGAAATGTATATAATCAAAAAAATCAATTTTTGTATTTGGAAATTTGTAAATTTAGATAAAAAAACAAAAACCATCTTGAAACTAGGCTATATGCGTTATATATTATTAGATTGGATACAAATAAATTTCATAATGTAAAAATTCGAATATTTGTTTTTTTTTTGTGGTAAAAAAATCAAAATAAAGAAAAAGAAAAGGAAAGGTTATGGATTAAAGGAAGCCATCGATTGATGAATCTGATGGCTGTGTGATTTGCCCGATGAATCGTTAACGATACATATTAACCATATGTTGAAAGGATCATATTGAGAGAAACTATATGGAGAGGTCATATTATTGAG